TTTATCGCCATTAGAGCCTGATTAGCTGCGGGCGTGTTCTGGTCATCGTTCTCCGGGCCACGTTCCGCGCCCTTGGCCGCCTTCCCCTCCCATCCATTTCGATGTTCTGGGGCGCGAAGCTATTTTGGTGGGCACTTAATAAGCTTTTCTGGTGTGATTGTGATGGGAAATTGATATGTTCATTCAATTATGTGCTCTGGTCGTGTCAATAAACTGATTGCGATCGTGTCCAGCGACTTGTCGACCAATTAGTTTCCAAACGAGACCTGCCCGATCAATTTGATTGATAAAACGGAGGCCGGTTTGGGAGGAGTGGCTGGGATGAAATGAAATCTGGACGTGCTGAAGCCCACATCAAAATGAGCAGAAATTAAAAGCAAAAGTCATCTCATGGGCTAAGTGCGATGCGGAGAATGGTTCTGCGAATGGCTGTGCAATAAGGAAATGGAAAGTTGATACCAGACTTATATGCTAGAAAAAAGATGTTATCTTAATAAAAATTATAAAGGTTTTTTTTTTGGGTAATGCTTAGAAATGTTTTTTTTAGATAGTTTCCATGTGAGTGTTAAACAAAGGAATTTTCAAAAAATCTGAGTTATACCAAGATTCAACCAAAATAAACATTTTAAACCCTTAAGCTACGCTGCATGTGAATATTATATATATTATCATATATATTAATTACATTATCTTTGTTCTTTCAAAACATTTTTAACATTATCGGCAGCTACTTACATTGTCATTGTAAAATACCTTTATCTTCTGTAAATATATTTTAAGTACATTATCTTAGTTATTTCGAAACGTATTTTCCATTATCGGAGCTACTTACACTTAAGCTTATTAGCAACAATAAATTAAGTTATATAATGTCCAATTAATACCACATTGAGATAAGATTGCTTGGCTAGTTGTTAGCCTCTCAGATTTAGAGCTATTTAAATAAAAATTTACCAAATGTATTCAAGTATGTTTTATATAGCAGCACTTATTCGGTTATTATTTCGTTGTAAAATGATTGCATAAAGAATTAAGTCAAATTTGTATTTAATTATTTACTTATAGCTTAACATACCCTCAAGTGCCGCGTAGAGCTAGCGTGCTCGCAAAGCAGCGAGGAATAATAGTAGAATAATAAAGAAGGCGGTCACAAAATAGAACATACAATGTGAATATAGACTAGTGGTTTCTAATTATACAAATGTCTAAAATTCAAGATTTTGCTAAACTGGTAACGATGAGAAAATACAAATTTTAAAACTTATTTTATATTGCAAATACCAGGCGTAAAAACGTGGTGTTAAAAAAACAAAGTGCTTATAATTAAGTGCATGTGAAAACGAACAATTATTTGAAAATACTTTATTCAGCTTATATTTTAAAATCGGGAATTCATATCTTTTGATTGGCTGCTATCCAGGAAATAAACGAGGATACCTGCACATAGACCGACGGCGAGTTGGCCTGACCACAGGGCAGCTTTCCCCAGGACACGATGCCGATGAGGACATTGCCCTGGACCAAAGGACCACCCGAATCCGAGGTGCAGAAGCTAGTGCCGCCAGTGAGTGGTCCCGTGCACAGGTTCGTGGTGTGGACATCCTGACCCTTGGTGCCCAATGCCTTTGCACAGGAATCGAGGCTAATGATGGGAATATTCTTGGCCTCCTGGAGGACCTTCGGATAGGAGGGGCTGTTGGTTTTGCTGGTGCTGCCCCAGCCGAAGAGGTTGGCCGAGCCCGTTGGCCTGGCTCCGGCCGATGGCAGCTTCACAGGAGCCACTGCGGCGGTCCAAACAAAGGCGGTGGGCGTGTAGATCAGGCCGATATCGTAGGGAACGGTTCCGCCGGTATACAGATCGTTGATTACATAGTGAGTTATTTGCCGTTTTTGGGTGGTGCTAGCTGTTCCGGCCACCGCAAGGCTTCCGGCCACCAGTGTGCTGCCCAGGACCTGGTTTCTATTGGCCAGGCAGTGAGCGGCAGTTACCAGCCAGTTTGCATTCAGGATGCTAGCCGCGCAGTAGTGGGTGCCACCGTACTGCATGGACACTATGTAGGGAGCACTATCAGCCGACGCCGTTGTGCCGCCCACCACACGTCCTTCGGGTTGGGCGAAGGCGAATCCCGATCCTTGGCAGAGTCCCAGGGCCAGGAGGAGGTAACTGGCCAGGGAGCGATGGCGCCACCTTGAGTTATGCTGTCCGTTCGCAATCATTGTTTTCGCGGAACTGTTTACATCGCCTGCATTGACTTGGCTTTTTAAATGAAATCAAGATAAGGACTTTCACGCGAGCCCACCACAAAATAGATAGGGGTTTCAATTAAGGCCGTTGTCATTCAGATAAGCTCCTAATTTAATTAAAGATTAGAAGACGTCCGAGCAGGTATTTGTATATATAGTTTATATACTTCGGTTTACACTCTTGTAGTGATTGACTGCATAGATGTTCAAACATTGCAAGTCTCAAGTTTGTGATTTTATTCTATATGCACATGAGTACTGTTATATCTCAAGTTTATCAATAAATTTCATATTTTGCTGGAATTCCCCTCCGACACGACACGTTTATAGCTTTGGCGGATCATTTTTTTCTTTTGTCGGTGATTTTTTAATGCCCCGATTTTTGGATATTTTCTTCCAGATATCAGGAAATGTATGTAAAAAAAATTCCTACCAAGATAGGTAGAGGCTTTAACCTGAATATTAAAAAAAAAAACCATTTTGATTTTTTATGTATTTGGTAAAGCTTTTTTTGTAAATCATTTTCATTTTTAAGTAGATTTAAAATCAAAAAAGTTGAAATCTACAATTAAATATAGTTTGTTTTAAGGTATTTCATAATTAAAAATAAAACTATATTACATTCAAGAATTTTAATGTATCAACATACTATGCCGTTTTTCTCTGGGTGTAGATAATGTAAATGCCTTTTTTAAAGTAATATTTATTTAATTGCCAACTAATCTTATCTATCTAAAGTGAAGTGACCATTACAAATTTTTATAGAAAGACTTTTTTTCTTTCGTTGAAGTGACTGTTAAAAATGCCTAAAGGCGGTTATTTGAAATCGATTTACTGAAAATGTTAAAGTAAATGTTTATATTCTTTTAATAAAACGCAAATAAGTCCTATAAATTTAAACAACAGAACTCAGTTTTATTTTGATAGGAAATCGCTTTTTTTTAGAGTAACACCCCTTTGCTCATAGTTTTTCGCTCCGTACGTCATTGATCAGTCACTGGCCACTGGAGGCTCAACTTTATTTGCTTTTATTGACGAAATTTATTTAAATTCGACCTTTTAGGGCACCTGTTGGTTGGCCGATATCCATGAAATAAACGAGGATACCTGCACATAGACCGACGGCGAGTTGGCCTGACCACAGGGCAGCTTTCCCCAGGACACTATGCCGATGAGGACATTGCCCTGGACCAAAGGACCTCCCGAGTCTGAGGTACAGATGCTGACGCCGCCGGTCAGAGGTCCGGTGCAGAGATTGGTCGAGTGGACGTCGCTGCCTTTGGTGCCCAGGGCGGTCTCGCAGGAGCTCAGCGAGATGATGGGCACATTGCTGGCCACCTGGAGGGTGGTGGGGTAGGAGGCGGTGTTGGTGGTGCTGGTGCTGCCCCAGCCGTAGAGATTGGCAGTGCCAGTGGGCACCACTCCGGCAGTGGGCAGCGTTACGGCGGCCACAGCGGCGGACCACACAAAGGCGGTGGGCGTGTAGACCAATCCGATGTCGTAGGGAACGGTTCCACCCGTGTACAGATCGTTGATCACGAAGTAGGTGATGCTCCGCGTCTGCGTGGTGCTGGCTGTTCCGGCCACCGCATTGCTGCCCGCCACCAGGGTGCTCCCCATCACCTGGTTACTGTTGGTCAGGCAGTGGGCGGCCGTTACCAGCCAGTTGGCATTCAGGATGCTAGCCGCGCAGTAGTGGGTGCCACCGTACTGCATGGACACCGCGTAGGGAGCACTGTTCGTCGCCGCCGCACTGCCGCCCACGACACGCCCCTCCGGCTGGCCAATGGCCACTCCGGACACCTGGCACAGGCCCAGGATCAGCGGGATCACACTGGCCAGCCTTGTTTGCGGTCCGTTCGCTATCATAGTGTTCGCGGAACTGTTTACATCGGCCTTTATCGCGGGCCGTTTAAATTAATTCGCGATACTAAATTTCGCCAGCGCCAGCAGATAAGACTTTCAATTACGGTCCGTGTTCTTCAGATAACCGCTTAAATAATTTAAGATTAAGCGACACCCGAGAAGTGACTCTTTGGGAGAAGTACGTCAACTTGCAGTGATAGGCTAGGAAAATAACAGCATTAATATCTCAAGTATCCCAAATCCTTTGTGAGCTTTATAATTTTGAAAAAAAAAATATTTATATTTAAAAATCACAATTAACCTTTGTGGTGTTCCTTCGCGTGCTTTTGTGGTGAACAAAGAAGTTTACTGCTTACAACTTTCTTGGGATAGCCCTTTTTATAACTTATAAACAATTATTTAAATTTCTTGTATATAAATATATTTTAATAAATTATGTATATAAATAAAAAGAACAGGTACTCGATTATGCGATTCACATTTCACCGAGCTTTTAAATTTGTTTTTCACCTGTTCACCTTTCTAGTATTTTTTGTATGGTCATTCGGGCATTCACAATTCAATATTATTGGTATTTCTTGCCAGCCCTGGTCACAAGAGGTGGAGAAACATCGATGTTTGCTGGCTTTGATGTTGTTGGCGGAAAACATAAATGCTTCATCGATGTTTAAAATAAATTAAAACTAGTTTAAAACATGTATTCTTAAATGTGTACACATTTTTATAATTTTTTTAACAATAAATTTATTTATTTAAGGATGGCAGAATCTACAGGAATGAGATAAAACTTTTATTTAACACTAGTTAGAGAAGGAGAAACATCGATTATCCCTGTCATCGATAGGACCGATATTTTTCAAACATCGATGACATCAATGATTCTCCACCTCTAATGGAGCAACTGACTCAGAAGTAAGAAGAAGAGACGATTTGCTGGCCGTAATTTTTCCACGACTCAACCAAGCGATTACAAGAGTTAATCCGACCGGAATTCGGCCTTTTTAAAGTCGGAAGCATTTAGAAAGCAAGTCCATCGACCAAGTGCCGTGGTTCCAGCGAAATCGCCGTGCGAAAAGTTTCGGAAAACCGCTGGCCCAGCCCCATTATAAACAGAGAGGAGGGGTGGAGAGTGGAGAGTGCGCAGCCGAGGAGTGTGGAGAGCGGAGCGAGAAGAGAGGTCAGCCAACCCGTAATTAAGAAAAAGTAGACACGTACGTGGAAGATGTCATCCGGAGATTTCGGCAATCCGCTGCGGAAGTTCAAGCTGGTCTTCCTGGGCGAGCAGAGTGTGGGGAAGACCTCCCTGATTACGCGATTCATGTACGACAGCTTTGACAACACGTACCAGGCGACGATCGGGATCGACTTCCTCTCGAAGACCATGTACCTGGAGGATCGCACGGTGCGCCTGCAGTTGTGGGACACGGCGGGCCAGGAACGGTTCCGCTCCCTGATCCCGTCCTACATTCGCGACTCCACGGTGGCCGTCGTCGTGTACGACATCACCAACACCAACTCGTTCCACCAGACCTCCAAGTGGATCGATGACGTGCGCACGGAGCGGGGCAGCGACGTCATCATCATGCTGGTGGGCAACAAGACGGATCTCTCGGACAAGCGCCAGGTGTCCACCGAGGAGGGGGAGCGCAAGGCGAAGGAGCTGAATGTGATGTTTATCGAGACGAGCGCCAAGGCCGGCTACAATGTGAAGCAATTATTCCGACGGGTGGCTGCGGCACTGCCCGGCATGGATTCCACGGAGAACAAACCCTCGGAGGACATGCAGGAGGTGGTGCTGAAGGACTCACCCAACGAGACGAAGGATCCGGAGGGCGGCTGCGCCTGCTAGAACCGGTTGAGTCGAACCAACCCGATGCAATCCTCCCCTTTGAACAGCAGGAGCAGGAGATCGGCCAACAGCACTAGTGTACACAGGTGTCAGGTGTATGTGGCTGGATCTGCGGCGGATTCCTCAACATCTATACACACATACACACTTTACGTTTAAGTTTATTTATAAAGTAACAAATGATAGCAAAGGCAAATAGACTAAACAACAATTAACGAAATCGGCTAACTAATTAATGTTAATTGAGCAGCAGTGCAGGCGAGCTAATCCCGAGCGTAGGTGAATGCTAACTCATTGACACGAGATCAGGGATCAAGATCAGAGTAATATTTGCAAGTTAGCTACCAGTTAAGAATATAGTGTTGTGCATTTCCGATACCCCAAAAGTCCCATCACCCAACCATGTACTTATGCCAGGCCAGGCGGTCCAGGATCCTCCGACATTCCAGCTCGCGGCACCTCCAACAGTCGTAGATACCACGCAGCCAGTCTGTGTTCAATGATTCCACCAGCCAGGCACTTTGTTTCCAATTTTAGCCCCCATTCTGTTCTGTTTGCGGCTTTTGTTTCGCCCATCTCGGTTCGGTTTTCGGTTTTTTTTTTTAGCACAGCGTGCGCGACTGCTAACTGGAAATTTTGGATGGCATAGGACTTGGCCACGTGCATCTTATGAATAAATATACACAGATATATAATATGTATTTTTATGACTAAAACTGAAACAGACAGGCAGCACGAGCAGAGAAAACACTTAACAATATTATTAACGATTTTTGCTTCGATTAGCGAGAGAACTTTGTGCATTTTTTACGCGAAAAGCAAAAGCTTACAAAATTGATAATTGAATAAAAACATAAAACTATGAATGCAATTTTTAATAAATCAAATTATGAAAATGAAAAGTATACAATATATTAGCAATAAATTAAAACATAAAACAAGCCCAAAGCATGACTCATATGGGAGCTGCTGACATCCCCATGCCCTCCCAAAAGTACGGTTCCAATTTATTTGGGGCGTCGTATCTTATCTATAAATTTCAGGTTACGTTGCCTATTCGAATCGTTCCTGAATGAACTGCACACCTGTGCTGGCATGACTAGCCCAAATACTTCTGAGGAGTTCCACCAGAAATTACAGTGTAATAGGCTTAGTCTGGATCGTAAAGAAAGGCCTCCGTTTCGTGGGAACTCAACAATCTTGAAATTAACTACATTTGAGCTTGTTCATTTATTGTTATTTTAGAACACAAATTCAAATTAAAAGCCATAAATAATGACTTATCAATTATATTTTCTATACTTATTTTATTTATGTGCTTCATCTGTTTAGCAAATGGCAGTTCATCAAACTGACCTAAACCAAAACATAGCACATATAAAATGAATTAGGTTTGGTTTTGGTTTTTATTTGTGAATTCCGGTTTCATAAGCGTAAATACATAGAAAGAACAAAAAATGCGTACTTGCTTTGCTATGCAAATTTTAAGTATACCTTTGATAAATAGATCGAAGTAGAGTCTTAGAAGCTGTCCTCGTTGGCGATGAATTCGTCGCGAATCTTCTGCAGCTTGGTAATTAGCTCCGCCACGGAGACCTCGCCGTGCACCTTGTTGTCCCGTGTGCGCACGTTCACGGTGTTCGACGAGCGCTCCTTGTCGCCCACCACCAGAATGAAGTTGAACTGGGCCAACTGAGCATTGCGTATCTTCTTGTTCATTGTGTCGCCGGCATCGCAGTCCGCCTCGCTCATGAATCCGGCATCGTGAAGCTGATCCCGGACAGACTGGGCGTACTGGTCGTAGGCCGGACCCACTGGCACCACCATCACCTGGCGCGGAGACAGCCAGAAGGGCCACTTGCCGGCAAAGTTCTCCGTGAGAATGGCGATCATGCGCTCCACTGAGCCGAGGATGGCGCGATGGATGATCACCGGACGCTTCTTCTCGCCATCGTCGGCGATGTAGCTGAGATTAAAGCGAATGGGCAGCTGGAAGTCCAGCTGAATGGTGGCGCATTGATGGGCGCGCTTCAGTGCATCCATAATGGTAATATCAATTTTGGGGCCATAGAAGGCACCATCGCCGGGGTTCTCCTTCCAGGGCATTCCGAACTCGTTGAGCGACTCGGCCAACGCCTTCTCAGCATCGTTCCACTGTTCCAGCTCGCCCAAATAATTTTCGGGGCGCGTGGACAGCACCAGCTGGAAGGAGAAGCCGAAGATGGTGTACACGTGCTTCAGGAACTCCAGGCAGCCCTTCATCTCGCTCTTGATCTGCTCGGGGGCACAGAAGATGTGCGCATCGTCCTGCTGGAAACGACGCACGCGAGTCAGTCCGGTCAAAGCGCCAGACAGTTCGTTGCGATGCAGCACACCAAAGTCGGCCATGCGCAGCGGCAACTCTCGCCACGAACGGTTGCGGTTATCGAAGATGAGGCAATGTCCGGGACAATTCATGGGCTTGAGCGCGAACTTCTCCTTCTCGGCCTCGAAGGAGAACATGTTCTCGGCATAGTGCTGCCAGTGGCCGGAGGTCATCCACAACTTGGCGTTGTAGATGTTTGGGGAAATGACCTCTTGGAAACCGCGTTTCCTGTACTCCGCCTTGATGAACCCAATCAGCGTGTTGTAGATGTGTGCTCCTCGTGGCTGGAAAAAGCACGAGCCCGGCGACAACTCATGGAAGAAGAACAGCTCCTGTTCGCGACCGATTTTGCGATGATCCCGCTTGGCCGCCTCCTCCTGCAGCTTCTCCCACTCCTTGAGCTGCTTGGGATCGGGGAACGAGATGCCGTAGACCCGCTGCAGCGTCTCGGCGTCGGCCTTGCCCTCCCAGTAAGTGGAGGAGTTCTTGGTGATCTTCAGGGCCTTCACCTTGCCGGTGTGGCGGACATGGGGTCCGCGGCAGAGATCGATCAGAGAGCCGCACTTGTAGACAGTGGTGCGATCGGTGGTCACCTTTTCGTTGAGAATACGCACCTTGAACTCGTTGTACTTGAACATCTCCAGCAGGTCGGACTTTTTCATCTCTAGGCGTTCGAAGTTCTGCTTCTCCTTTACGATTTGCTTGACCAAAGACTCCATGGCGCCGTAGTCGTTGGTGGAGATCTAATAAGGCAGCAATTTAGTTTATTTATTTAGCAAGAAAGACTGCAACTTCTTACACCCTCGCCTTCCAAATGCATGTCGTAATAGAAACCATTTTCGATTGGCGGCCCATAACACAAGTGTCCGCCGTAGATGCGTTCCATGGCCTCGCCCATGATGTGGGCGGAACTGTGCCAGAAGACGGCCTGCGCCTCGGGATCGTCGAACTTGAGCAGCTGAAGCGTGCAGTTGCCCTCGAGGACGCGGTCGAGGTCCCAGACCTCGCCGTTCACCTTGGAAATCACGGTGTTGTCGGCCAGACCCTGGCTAATGCCGCGTGCCACCTCGTACGGAGTACTCTCCCAGGAAGTGGCGTCCACCTGCTTGCCATCGGGCAGGGTGACCTTGATAGCCTCCCTCGTCTTGGCCGCCAGTTCGGCCGCATATTCCGCCTTGCATTTCTCCCAGAAGACATTGCGCTCTTCGATGTACTTCGGCAATGGATTGAGTTCTGAAATAGGCATAGCAGGGATTAGTTTATTTGTGGTATGGTGCTTTAATGCTATTGCTAAAAGGTTGTCACCGGTAACTTGTAAAATTTAAAAGGATATTTTGTTTTTGTGCAAAGGTATGTTACAGAAAAAAAGGGTGTATAAGTTATATAGGTACTCGATTTTACAAGAGTTTTTTGTTTTAAAAACTGGTAACTCATTCTTAAGCCTTAGAAAAAAATTGAACAAAATTTGTACGGTAGGAAAACGTTTTTTTTTTTTTGTTTTGAAGAGAACTAAAAAGTATAGGTGAGTCAGCTTACGTGCGACTACTAATGGATTGTAAGGGTAGGCTACGTATTTTACAAAAATACAGTAAGTAAAAAGTATCTTATAGATAAGACTTTTTATTTATTTTCCATTAGCTAACAGCCAAAATATATTAAAAGATTGTATAGGAGTTACGCTTTAGATGAACTCTATAAGTATTTTACAAGAAGGCAGTTTTAACAAATATTTAACTTTTGGGGTGTTTTTAAATTATATTTTGCGTTAACCCTTACCCTTGCGAGTGTCTGCGCCACCGGCCGGCTTCTCCTTTTTCTCCTTCTTCATTTTGGCCGCCTGCAAATCCATGGGAAAAAATCAATATGATGAAAATTTAAAGTGGCTGGAATTCCTGCTACGTATGCAATTAAGTAAACGCTTTTTTCGGTATCTACTTTCGACTGATATTCTTGGTGTTTGAACAATTGGGGACTAAAAGCAATGGAAACGACAAGATGCTTTTAAAGTATTTTTTCGTGGAACCTATCTCTTGTTATCGAGCTGTGTATTTTTAAGAGTATCTTCTTTACTTTTTAGCTGATGCAATAGCTGGATTCAAAGTTGAATGGTAGTTAGTGACGTCACATTAGCCGGCACTGATTCATTGCACACAAACAAACACACACACACACAAAACATTTACACGTGCCAGTATTAGACATTTATATCGTAATTAGGGTTCAATTTTTTAGAGCTTAAAACACCAACCAAAGTTGCGTAGTTGTGTTGTTGTTCTTTCAATTGTTGTTGTTGCTGTTGTTTTGGTGAATTCGGCTGCGTCTGAATTTTCGGCAAAATCCGCTGGCAAATGCGGGTTAAGTTGCTATAATATCTGCCGCCCTGGGGCGCAAACTTCAACATAACTCGGCTATCTAGCACTTCTAATACACTCGAATGCAGTCCGAAAAGAGTTTAACATGCCTTTTGCTTGTTCAAATCCAAGTTATTTAGTTCCATCACCACGTTGTCACCCATTTTTTACGAAACAAATTAATCAGAGGATGTGTGGGTAGTGTTACCAGGTGGCGACAGAGCTTTTGCACTGAAAGTTGGCGTTAAAGTGCATAAGTGCAATTAAAAATGCTAAGTTCCCACTAAGCCACTGTTGAAAAACAATATTACCTATTCTACAAATTTGGTCATTTCTATATGAAAGAAATTATGCAAATTTACAAATTTATTATGTAATTTTTTAGTTGCTGTTTTATTTGAGAACAGGAGTGCCAAATTTTCATTATGAAAGAGAACACACCTCGTTAAAGCTTTGTTTCAGTGTCTTAGCGTGGAAAAAGCCAAGTTGGCCACACTGCGTTTGGGACACCGAAAATAACAGTCAGCTGTTATCGGTTTGGCGCCAACTCGAGTTCGAAAATGGCCCCAATTCGAGTCCTGCCTTTCGGGTCAAGTATTGATTTTCTCACAGTGCTGACATAATTTCCTTGCCATCGAGTGCAGTCGTGTTTACGTAGCGTGTTCCGCTTCAAATTGGCCAAGCGATCTGAAAATTTCGATCTGAGCGTTACGGGAAAAGGCGACAAGATTGCACACCTACTGGAAAACCCCCTGCATCAAGGCAACGGTGGAACGGCGGACCGTCTGGGCGTAGACTTCGAGTTCTACATGGCCTCGAAGGTGCACCCAAGTCCGGGGGCGGCGCGCAGCGTTTGGGCCCTGCCCCTGACCGCCTCCTCCTCCTGCAACATGGTCGTGGCGGAGGAGGATGGCCACGCCCACGCCGACGACATCCACCTGGATCACCGGCCGCACTCGCCTCCCTTAGCGGGACGCGGGGAGGCCGGAGGACACGGCACCGGAGGCGTGGAGGACCATGAAAACGTGCTGCTCTTCGAGGGACTGGATGGGGCAACCACCGTGAATCTGGACGACATCTTCGACATCATCAAGAACGGGGAGGTCAGCGAGGTGGAGAACCTGGTGGACAAGTTCGGCCTGGAGTGTTT